GATTAAGCCTAAGCCAGGACCCAAAACCAAAGATGACAAAACGCCTGTCTACTTCCAGGCTAGCCCTTTCTGATAAGGGAGGGGCTAGCACATGGACAAACACCCTTCAAGGGCACAGGTGCACAGGGAGACCAAAAGCTAAGAGTGGAACAAGAACATTGAGAGAAACCTTTCAGCACCGCACTCCCGGCTCTAAGCACAAGGAACAGAGGAATTTGAAGCCAGTACTGCACTGAAGACAATCATAGTAACAACGAAACTCAAACCTAACTCTGCCCTAGCCTAAACGGACTCAACCCTTGATATTAACTACCTAGTGAAAGAAAAGACATGCCTACTTCCAGGCATATATATTTTTTTTTTTATCTCAGTCACTCCTGTTTTACCTGTGAAGTCCAGCATTCACTCAAAAATTAAGAGACACATAAAAAGTGCCCCCCAAAAAAAACCACTGGCAAGAGACAAAACAATCAGACTGAGAAATGACCCAGATGTTCAAATTTAGCAGACAAGAGACTTAAAATAATTATGAATATTGTTAAAGTCTATAGTGGAAAAGATCAAAATATGCATGAACAGATGGGGAACTTCAGCAGAGAGCCAGAAGAGACTATAAGAAAGAGTCAAATAGAAATGCTAGAGATTAAAACCAGAGAAGCTACTAAAGAGTGCTGAGGGCTCCACATTAGATTCAATGAAAGCCAGGGGTGCAAAGGGGGAGGGGAAATCAGAGAACTTGAAAATAGGTCAAAAGAAAATACCCAAATGAAACAGAAAACAAAGGCAGGGGGAAGCATCCAGGAGCTGTGAGGCAATACCCAAAAATCTAATAAAAATGTCACTGGAATCCCAGGAGAAAAGATAAAGAGTAAGGCAAAGAAACAATTTTAAAAGATAACAATCCAAAAACTTCCAAACTTCATGAACCACATCAAAGCTCAGATCAAGCTCAGAGAACCCCAAGCAGGACAAATACCAAGATACTACCTAAACACAACATATTTCAACTGCCAAAAACCAAAGATAAAGATAAAATTCTAAAGGCAGCCAGAGGGGCAAAAAGGAACAAAGATCAAGATTATAACAGACTTGGGGCACCTGGGTGGCTCAGTCAGTTGAGCATCTGCCTTCAGCTCAGTTCATGATCTCGGGGTCCTGAGATCGAGCCCACGTCGGGCTCCCTGCTCAGCAGGGAGTCTGCTTCTCCCTCTGCCCCTCACCCTCTTCATGCTCGCTCGCTCTCTCTCTCAAAATAATTAAATAAAATCTTAAAAAAAAAAAAAGATTATAACAGACTTCTCATCACAAACTATCCAAGTGGGAAGACTAATTTTCCTAAATGAAAGAAAAAAGTCACAAAGAATATACACTTTGGAGAGGTATCTTCCAAAACTTAATGCTTGTTTTTCATAAACCAAAGCTGAAATAATGCATTGCTAAAAGACCTGTGCTGTAAGAAATGTTAAAAGTAACAATGAATCATGGAACACTACATCAAAACCTAATAATGTACTGTATGGTGACTAACATAACATAATAAAATTAAATTAAATTAAAAAAGAAGGGGTGCCTGGGTGGCTCAGTTGGTTAAGCGACTGCCTTC